TTCCTCCTTCCAGACTTTCTTGGGATTCCTTGGAGGATGCCTTGGGTTTCGGGATGTTCTGATTCTTTCGAACTTCAGATCCCCAGTGGATTGCGTGGGGTGTCCGTTTGGTTCCCCAGGGGGCCTTGTGAATGGCCAGTAGGTAAGAGTGCTTCTAGATGAGTGGTCTGATTATGTTTACTGTGTAGTGTGTGTTGTATGTGTGTGTGTGTTGTGTGTTGTGTGTTGTGTGTGTGTGCGCTGCCTGGCCCCTGTCGTGGGCTTGCCTCCCTGTGTTCGCCCGCTGTCATGCGCTCCCTGCCTCTGGCCCTGCTGCCTCGCTGCCGCATCGCGTCCTGCCATGCCCCCCCCCAGGCGCCCCCTGCCTCCGTCCTCACTCGGAGGACGGATACAGCGGAGACCCATGCCAAGAAGCACCCTGCTTGCCTCCAGGGTGCCTTTGGTTTCTTGGGTTTCGATGGTTTTGCGATGGAAAGCGTGACGTTCCCACACCAAACATCAATGGACGTCTTGGGCTCTCAGGGTTGGATTTCTCGTGGAATGTTTCTTGTGGCCAGGCCCCTACTGTATCGTGGCCGGCGCAATGATATCTCCCCGGGTGTCATGGCATCCAGTGTTGGTTTCAACGCACGCGTCTTTTGCCACCTCCCCCATTGGGCCGCGCACACGCCTCGGGCCACGATTTGCGACCCCTCTCTCTCCAGGACCCACCCGGGGACTCGAGTCGCACGGTGGGGGGCGTTCGTCAAAACGTGTGCCCAGGAGGCTTCAGACCCCGGATGGTTCCATATCTGATGAGGGCGGCGGTGATGTCCATGGCTACGCCCAAGTCGGTGCTCCACTGGCTTCCCCTGGATTCCTTATTCAACGATTATGGATCCAATGCTCTTACAGTACCCGATACTTGCATTTCTACATGTGCCGTGTTTCCCCCCTGCATCATGCTCCATATCGAGCTGCGTACTCGAACGCATGGCATTCTCAATCTTCTTCGTTGCGAAATCGGGCCTTTCGGGCATCACGGAGCACAGCTCCAAAGTCGCACAGTGTAATACATATGTACACATCGATGTGTATATATATGTGTGAGAGAGAGAGCGTGTTCTACCGCTGCTGGCGGAAAACCGGGGGGGGTCACTACCGGTTCGAACCCCTCCCCCCCCCCCCTCCTGAAAACCGGGGGGGGTCACTACCGGTTCGAACCCCTCCCCCCCCAGGCCTGCATGAGAAGGGGGGGGGGTCACTACCGGTTCGAAACCCTCCCCCCCCCCCTCCTTCCTGAAAGCCGGGGGGGGTCACTACCGGTTCGAACCCCCCCCCCCTCGAAAACCGAGGGGGTGCGACAGTGGTGGGGAGGGGACGGTGGTGGTGGGGACAGTGGTGAGGGGACAGCGGGGACAGAGGTGGGGACAGTGGGACAGTGGTGGGGACGGTAGTGGTGGGGACAGTGGTGAGGACAATTGTGGGAACAGTGGGACAGTGGTGGGGGCGGTGGTGGTGGGGACAGTGGTGTGGGGACAGTGGGAATGTGGTGGAAACAGTGGGACAGTGGAGGGTACAGTGGCGGTGGGGACAGTGGTGAAGGCGGTGGCGAGGACGGCGGTGGGACAATGGGACAGAGGTACAGAGGGGACAGTGGTGGGGACAGTGGGGACACTGGTGGGAACAGTGGGACGGCTCAGTGGGACAGCGGAGGAGTCAGTGGGACAGTGGGGATAGTCGGGCAGCGGTTGGGGCCGTGGAGAAAGTGGGGAGAGTGGAACTGTGGTGGGGACAGTGGTGGGGAGAGTAGGGACGGTGGTGAACCAGTGGGGACAGTGGTGGTGAGGACAGTGGGTGCTGGGAACAACGTGACAACAGTGGGGGATTGGTGGGGACGGTGGTGTAGGATGGGAGTCGTTTGTGCGGGGAGTGGGGGGTTGGGGGAGGTTGTTGGGGTGGTGGGGAGGGTTCGAACGGTAGTGATCCCCTCCGGTTTTTCGAGGGGGGGGGGGGGGGGGGTCGAACGGGTAGTGACCCCCCCCGGCTTTCTTTTTTTTTTTTTTTTTTTCTCATATTGTTTTTTTTTTTTTCAGGAGGGGAGGGGGGGGGGGAGGGGTTAGGGGAGAGGGGGGGGTTGCCGGGGAGGGGGGGGGGGTCCAGCAGGGGGGGGGGGGGGATTTTCCGGAGGGGGGGGGGGGGGACCCCCGGGTTCCGGAAATGGCAATTTTCCACAGTAAAGCGGCGGTGGATCACGCTCTCTCTTTCTCTCTCTCTCTCTCTCTCTCTGTCTCTCTCATATATATATAGATAGATAGATAGATTGCTTATATGTACACGCATTATACGTATATGCATATATATATATATAATATGTATATGGCTATATTTTTATATATATATATATATATGTGTCACAGGTATGCGCATACTTGTGTATATAAATACGTGAATAGACACAGCTGCATATACCGATACATCTACATATGCTCTATATATAAATATAGATGTTGTATGTCGGAGGCTCCAGTCAAATTGCGACTGAGAATTTTGGAGGCTACGCACATATCGATGGCTACCAGGACTTAGCGTTTTGAGTATTTCTGGTGAGCCATAGTGCCCGCCGAGCATTGTCAGCAGCATGTTGTTGCACAAAAGTTCGGTTCACTTTGTATAGCCACCCGCCCCTCGCCTGCCTGCATTTCCCTTGCCCTCCCTTCAAGCATGCTCCTCCCTCCTTCTTCCTTCTCAACACGGCCCTCTCCTCCGCACCTCCCCCTTGTAGCACGTAGCCGTATTGGTTCTAAGATCCTCGGCTTCTGTCTCGGCTGCCGCTGCTCCAGGCGAGCGTCTGCCATGGAGCGGGTATGGTGGCTGGCCACTGCGACTGTCAGAGAGCGAGATGCGCTGGACGCGGTGAGGCAGTCTATCCTGGACGTCGACAGAAGTGAGCTACGTAACCCGCAGGGGTGCGAAAATAGTCGCGGTTCGCGGTCTGGGCCAGAGACGGGTTGGCGCGAGCCGCGAGATCGCGAACATCATTGCGCCTCGTGGTTCGCGCAGCGCGGAGTGCGAAGCTAGGTGACTTGGGTAACGGGCCAAGGTGTCCTCAACTCAGTCCTGGGTCCTCGGGCCAGAAACACTTTTATCGACGCCCGGGCATCCACTCGGAGATAGAGGACGGGGGTACTTTGTTCACGGAGCGTCAGAAGGACCTTACCAAGTGGCAGCAGTCGGACATGTCCCCCGCCTTCTCGGGTCTTGTGGGCGGTTGCGCCAGCATCGCCGTGTTCCGCCGGCTCGGCCTGTTCACTAGGGGGCCGAAGATGATGATCATCCTGCCAGCCATGCCATTCTACGTCCTGCCGTATCAGTTCGTTCATCACCTCAGGGAGACAGAGTATCCCCCTCCGCGCTGCCGCGCGTGCCCGACACCGCACTATTGTGGGAGGGTGTTTCTTGCTCGTGTGTGTGTGTGTGTGTTTGTTTGTGCGTGTGTGTGTGTGTGTGTGTGTGTGTGTGTGTGTGTGTGTGTGTGTCTGTCTGTCTGTCTGTCTGTCTGTCTGTCTGTCTGTCTGTCTGTCTGTCTGTCTGTCTGTCTGCCTGCCTGTCTGCCTGCCTGCCTGTCTGTCTGTCTGTCTGTCTGTCTGTCTGTCTGTCTGTCTGTCTGTCTGTCTGTCTGTCTGTCTGCCTGTCTTTGCGAATGTGTGTGTGTGGGATCGCTCCTTGGCTTAGCTGCCTCGGTGCGCCCGCTCTGGTACGCAGCACGTGCCGCGATCAGAACGTCCGTGTCAAGGCGTGTTGGCTCAACGTATTGGCCCACGCTGTGGCGAACGTGTCGCGCCAGACCTACGCTGTCAGTCCACGCGTTGAGCTCCGTAGCAGTACTCCAGATTTCGTAATAAAGGGAGGGGGGTCTCATTTCGGGGGGGTCTTTTCCAAGCTATCTTGGAGGGCCTGGGGGGGTCTGGGGACGATGTTTTGGAGGGTTCTCCCACGGGGGGGGGTCTGAAATGGCTTGTCTTGGAGGGTCCAGACCCCCTCCCATTTATTACGAAATCTGGAGTACGCTGTCGGTCCCGCGTTGAGCTCCGCAGCAGCACGCTGCGAGCTGCGCGTTGCGGGCTGCGTCTCGGGGCAGCTGAGCTCCTCGGCCGCTCCTCCGGGCCTCTCGGCCCGATTTCCGCCGCGTCGCTGCCGCGCGCGGCCGCGAGGCCACAGTGTGAGTGTGTGTGTGTATATATATATATATATATATATATATATTCCCTTTTCTATATTTTTACAATCCGGGGGGGTGGGACCCCCCCCCCCCCCGGAAAATCGGACCCCCGGGATCTGGCGCTTTTGGGGCCCCCTGGACGCCTTGCAATGGGTCCCCCGGGCCTTCCGGGCCTCCTGGACGCCCCTGCCGGGCCTTGCCAGCGGGCCCAAAGCGGTCAGGAGGGCGGCCAAACGGCCCCGCGAGAGCCCCACGCGGCCCCAGACAGCCCCAAGACGCCCGAAGACGACCCAAAGAAGACCCCCAAGAGGTCCTCCAAGTGCAAAAAACAACACTTTCCTTTAGTTTTTTTATTGAATTTTTGGACATTCGGTTCTTCGGTATTCCGTGCGTCCGAGTCCGCCGAAGAGGCCCCAAAAATCCTCCCACAACGGTGTCAAAGGGCTTCCAGACAGTCCAAAAGAGCTCCAATATGGTCCAACAGGGCCGCAAGATGGCCCCAAGAGAGCCCCGCTGACAGCCCCAGATGGCCCCAAGACGCCTCCCGAAGCACTCCAAATCGTGACCCGGTCGTTCAGGGAGACCGTGGTTGGTAGCAAGGTGGCCGCAAGAAGCCCCCAGAGGCCCCCAAAAGGCGCCCAGGAGGCCCCCAGAGGTCCCCAAAAAGCTTTTGAGAGGGGCCCAAGAACACCTCCAAAGAGGAGCCCCTGCAATAAAAACTGGGGATGAGGACAAGGAGTGGCTCGCAGACAAGGAAGATTACGAGTAAGAGGAGAGGAATTATAAGGATAGTACATAACATTACTATAACGGCGATGGCGCAAACGGCAACAATGAAACATCGCTATATTTGGTTATCCTGCATGCCGAGCTTTAAGAACCAAGATGCATGGCGCGAAGCGCCAATGCAGTCTTGTATATATATATATATATATGTGTGAGTGCCGGGGGCAGGCGCGCTTTTTTTTGTTTTGGGGGGGGAGCGGTCGCTGAAACGCTGCCTCGTGGTCTCTGCTTTTGGCCTCCCCTCTTCGCGCGTACGGGCAAGGGCAGCGCAGGGACTCCGAGTGAAAGCGCGGGCACGTGTCGGGCTCGATGCGCTCGCTTCGGGAGGGGGGGGGGGGGGCGAGCTTCTGTTTCGCGGTAAGCGAAGCGGCTCTGAAGCACTGTGCACCGCGGTGGTGGAAGATCCTGAAGGCACAATGAAACAGTGAAGAGAGCTTCGTCATGTACCCTCCAGACTTGAGACCATACGGGAGAGCATGCGGTAGAACATACGGGAGACCATGCGCGGGACCATACGGCAGAACATACGGGGGACCATACGGGAGGCCATACGGGGGAGCATACGGGAGACCAGACGGTAGTGCATACGCGAGGTCACGAGGGTTCAGCTATAGGAGGCCATACGGGAGACCGTATTCGAGACATTCAGATCTCCGACGCCGTGGCCGGCAATGCCCCCCCCGCTTTTCTTAGGAGCCATACAGAGCACCTTATACAGACGAGCTGACACGGAAAAGTAGGAGCCTGACACGCGCCGACCGTTGCAGAGCGCGGTCGCGGATTTGGTCGAGATGATGCGAGAGGAGAAGAACGGAAGATTTGCGCGACAGTTGCAGAAGACGTTCAGGGCTGCCTCCGCTGTGGCGGATTCGGCGGTCTTGGACGACATCGAGGGCGGCGTAGATATCGACTAGTGACGCTTCTCGCGTGCCTGAGAGACAGCCTGCGGCCCTGGCTCTGAGCGAACTGGGGAAAGGTACACCCGCCTCTGAATTGCGTTCCCCCTCATCGTCCTCCTCGCCCCCCCGTTCCTGCCTCCCTCCTCCGATGGGGTCTGGTGAAGGGGGGGGGGGATGGGGAGGACGAGGAGGAGGAGGAGGAGGATGAGGAGGAGGAGGGGAGGAGGAGGAGGAGGAGGAGGAGGAGGAGGAGGAGGAGGAGGAGGAGGAGGAGGGAGGGAGGAGGAGGGAGGAGGAGGAGGAGGAGTGGAGGAGGGAGGAGGAGGAGGGGGAGGGGAGGAGAGGAGGAGGAGGAGGAGGAGGAGGGAGGAGGAGAGGAGGGAGGAGAGGGGGAGGGAGGAGGAGGAGGAGGAGGAGGAGGAGGAGAAGCTGGAGGGGTGTGGCGCCTGGCCGCAGGTGGGGCTCGAGTTGCCGTGGGTGCTGGGACGGCCACTTCCGTGAACGCGAAGCCGCCCCACCCCCCCAGGAGGCACCTCGTCCGCCACCTCCTCCTCCCCCCTCCTCCTCCTCCTCTTGCTCCTCCTCCCTCCTCCTCACTCCTCTCCTCCTCCTCCTCCTCCTCTCCTCCTCCTCTTCCTTCCCCTCCCCTCCTCCTCCTCCTCCTCCTCCTCCTCCTCCTCCTCCTCCCCCTCCCTCCTCCTCCTCCTCCCTCTTCCTCCTCCTCCTCCTCCTCCTCCTCCTCCTCCGCCTCCTCCTCCTCCTCCTCCTCCTCCTCCTCCTCCTCTCAGTTCGCGGTGGCTCGTGGACGTACCCTTGGCCCCTGGCCTTCTCCCAGCTATTCGGCTCCTGGGGCTCCAGCGAGCGGAGTGCATGAAAGACAGCCCTCAGGAGTCGGGGTGATGTTTGGGTCCCTTGGGGGCGCCGCCGTTCGGTCCCGCAGGTGTGCGGCTCAAGCGGAGTTTGCTGTTGCTTCGCTCCGCCCGCACAGCGGAGGCCCGGGGGATGCTTTGAGCATCGACGAAGCGGCGTCGCCCCCAGGCCTCTGGCTCGCCACCAGAGATTTCCAGGTTACGAGCCAGAGAGGCCGCACACCTTTCATGTTCCGAGCTGCCGGCCGCCCAGATGGCCCTCCTTGTTGGACAGTGCTTTTCGGCATCAGGAGGCCCCGGGGGGCGCCTTGCCCGCGCTGGCAGACCGCCGGGGCCCCCAGGCGGTAGGCGGGTCGCCCCTGTCGGCGTGGGCGACGGCTCGAGTGAGCGCGCCTCGGGCCGAGGGGGGGGTCGAAGAAGCAGCTGGAGAAGAGGGTCGCGCGGGAGTGCTTCAAGAGACGGGCTGGCCCGAAGATTGCGCCTCAGCAGAGCGGGCCAGCGCAACGGGTCGTCCGACTTGCGGACTGAGCGGCGGGGCGGCGGCCGTCGGCGATGCTCAGGCCGCGCCGACGATGGGCCAGTGGGAGGCTGGCGCCGCCTCACGCCTGCACCGATCCCGCAGCAGCAGGAATGCGATGAAGGAGATTAGCTTCGGGATCCTCGTTCGCGCGAGAAGGCTGCCGAGTAAGATTGAAGATGTTGTGCGACTGTTCCCCAGAGGCGACGCGCCACAATCGCCGGAGGCTGGCATGGGGCGAGATGTGCTACCACTGCTAGTGAGGGAGCTGGCACCTTTATTAGCCTGGGGCCCTAATATGAGAACGAAAGGTTTGCCGAGTGGCGAGGGATCCCTTGTCGGTTTAGCGTCGTGAGCAGATTCGCAGAGGCAGGAGGCCCAGGAGATGACGATCCAGATGTGGGTTTTCTGCAGCACCAAGGGTCTTAACTACCTCTATCTCGGCCACCTGAGCAAGGGCCGCTGGGGGGCTGCAGGGGCCCGCTCACAGGTCCAGCTCGATGGCCTACGTGTGATCGGTGAGACGGTCGAGCGGCGCGTCAGGAGCGCGTTGGACGAGGTCGAGCTGCCCTATTGGCCGCAGGAGTTGATGAAGAGCAGGGCCAGCTACAACCTGGATGAGGACTGCGGGGCTCTGCCGCTGAACTTCAAGGAGATGGAGCCAGGCTTACCCGAGGCGGAGGATATCGGCCGCCTGGGCGTCCTCGAGTATGTCGGGGCCAACCTGATGGAGCTATTGACTAAGCCCGAGCCCCCCTTGCTGCCCGAGGCAGAATGGCCGTCTACGCCCCCGAGGGCGAAGGGCAACGTCGAGCGCGTCGAGGACCGGTGGTTCAACGCCGCGAGGCTAGATGAGCGGGGACTGTTGAAGCCCATCGCTGCTGATCGGGTTATCCATGCTCAGGGCAAGCGCGTGACCAACGGGCTCTTCGCAGTCGCGAAGAATGGCAGCCCAGGCCCAGGGGCTGCGAGGGTGACAAGGCTAATATTCAACACGGTGCCCACCAATGCCTACCTGCGCCCGCTGGTCGGCGATTCGGCTACGCTAGTCCCGTCGCCTGCCTGGGTCAGCGCATCGTCGCAGCCCAACGAGCGTTTGCTCTGGAGCGGGGACGACCAGACGAGTGCTTTCTTCATGTACAGGATTCCTGAGCCTTGGCTGGCCTACACGACGGCGTACACCCCGGTCCCTAGTCGCATCCTGGGGACCAACGCAGGGGAGGTCTGGCTTGCGATGACGGTGCTGCCCAGGGGCTGGTTGTACAGTGTGCCCATTTTCCAGAGCATCCATCGACGCGTCGCTCTGCCGGAAGAGTCTGCAGGCGCTGATCTGACGCCCTCCCGTGTGTGGAGGAGGGGCCGCCCTGTTCCTGCGGCGGTGGAGGCCCCCCTCGCGGGCGATGGTGACCGCGTTTGGTGGAGTACCTATATTGGCGACTTCGACACTTGGGAGGTGCTCAACTGGGGGGCCGCGCTACCTTTGGTCGGCACCCCTGTCCGTCTCCAGGAGCTGATGAGGGAGAGCTACGAGAGGAACGGCACCCCCGTCAACAAGGCAATCCAGCGACAGGTCTTCGTCACTCGCACGGGCGCGGAGGTCGATGGAGTTGCGGGCAGGGCGGCGAACAGCCGAGTGAAGAACGCGCGGCTGTATAGCCTCACCCTGTGGCTCCTGGCACGCATCAACCCCGTGGGAAACCAGCTTCTGGCCCTCTTGGGCCGCTAGGTGCGAGCGCTGGAGTTCAGGCGGCCCCTCTTTGGAGTCTTCAATGCCGTCTGGGAGCTGGTCGCCTCAGGACGCGCCGTGCTGCCGAGGGGCTGCGTTGATGAGCTGGCGCGCGCTCGCCTGCCACTGCCTTTGGCGACTGCGAACTTGAGGGCGAATGCCGCCGGCATCGTCTCATGCTCGGGTGCCAGCGAGGAGGAGCCGCGCATGCTGCTGGTGAGCCTGTTCGACGGGATAGGCGGTGCGACGGTCTCTCTGGCGCGAGCGGGGGTCGCCATCGGCGGCTACATGAGCAGCGAGGCTGACAGAGGAGCCAGACGCGTACTACGATCGCTGGCCAGGACTGATCAAGCTGGGCCCCGTGGAAGAGATCGAGGCGAGGCAGCTCTAGGCGCTGAACTTGTTTCAGGGTCGCTTCGTGGTTGTGATTGTCGCCGGAGGCAGCCTTTGCCAGGATGTCAGCGGAATCAACGCTGATCGGCAAGGGGCCCGCGGCGCTCGGAGCGGCCTGTCGACGCGCATTCCCAAGATAGTGCGCGTGCTGACTCAAGCGCTGCAAGTACCTGTGCACTGGATCGGAGAACATGTTTTCTCCATGAGCACTGAGTCCCTCCAGGAGTTCAATCGAGTCCTCCAGCAGAGGCCCCTTCGTGCGTGCAACTCCTTGTTTACCGAGAACCGTCGGCCGCGCCTTCGCTGGTGCTCGCGGCGGGAGGCAATCCTCCAGACCCCGGGGATGCACGTGGAGCCCACGCAAGATTACGACCTCATCAAGTCCATTTAGGTCCCCAAGGCCTCAGCGAGTTCTTGGGCGTCTGCCGGCTGCTCGAGAGCTTCGTCAGAAGGGCCAGTGTGTGCCCTACTTCAGCGACGAGAAAAGAGCCCCCCCTTCAAGCCTGCGGGCCTGGCCTCAGCTAGCTCAGGGGATATTCGGGGGTGGTCCCAAGATCGACGTGCATGCCCTCCTTATCAGTATGAGTTCGAGCACATGATAAGGGAGCCCAGCGGGGAGCTAAGACCTTTGTATGCCACCGAGAGGGAGGTCCTGATGGGCCCCCCCAAGCATTGTACCTCCTCAGTAGCAAGTTCGGGCTCTAGCCGCACCGCCGTTGAGTCCGAGCGCTGCAGCCTCATCGGGGGCGCTTTCGCCTGCGGCGTGGTGAGCTGGCATTTCCTGGCGCTCAGGCGTGAGCTCGGCTAGGCGGCGCGCGAGGCCGATCTGCGGGGGGCCGCGCTGAACTCGGAGGTGAAGGGCCTGCTGGACGAGGACGTGGAGTTTTCAAAGGACCCCATCCGCGAGACCGCGCTGGGCCAGAAGCTCGCGCAGATTTACTGGACCATCGCCGAGAAATCTGGGAGCGACATCCGCCTCGACGTCGGCGTGCCCTTCAGGCCGAAGGCCGGGCCTCGTGCTTCAGTCGGTCCAGCATTTTGGAGGTGGCGTCCAACCCTGTCCTTCCCCTGCCCCAAGACAGCTCGGGAGTTGCATATCAAAGCGCTGGAGCTGAAGGCGGCCAACGCCGTGCTGCAGCACCGTGCCCGGACCACGACCTTCAGGGGCGTCGAGGTCCTTCATCTGGTCGACGCCCAGGTGGTGGCCTCGATCCTTACGAGAGGGCGTACATCTTCAGGGAAGTTGCGCGGTCTGGCCAATCAGTACGCTGCCATCGTTGTGAGCTCGGGTTTGTACGTGGGCATCGGATGCATCAACGCCGAGCTGAACCCGAGTGATCGTCCTTCTCGTGAGCTTCTATCCGGGAAATGGCGCCCAAGAGAGTCACTTCTGACGATGACCAGTTTAACAAAAGGGGCGCACGTTTGCGAGACCTACAGATCACCGGGCCCACTGGGCAACGGTACGAGCGTTGTGCTGGGCGTGCGTTTGCTTGATGGAGAGCGCACGATGCTCATCTAGCATCCCCGCATGAAGTTGACCGCAATTTCCGTGAGTACTTCGAGCCTTGCTGGGCAGAGCTGGAGCCGCTGTACTTGGTGGTCAACGCTGGTGCTGGGTGCATTGGTTGATGCCACCTCTGAGAAGACACCTGCAGCACAGTTGGAGCCTGATCAGGACCTGGGCGAAGCAGTGCACGCCTTGCCGAGCTACTCCTTCCCACGCAAAGATAGTCCTGGCCCTAGCAGCCACAGCCTGGGACTTGGGCTGGTTGGGCCTTGCCACTGTCCTTTCTGATCATGTTCGACACCCTCATGTGGGCTGGCGAGCTGCTGGGGCTGCGGCGGCGGCAGGCGCTTGTGAAAGATGATAAAGCCATCATCCATATCGGGGCATCGAAGATAAATCTCAGAAAAATGTGCTCGGAAGTTGTTAGCCTGCGAGATGGTGTCAGTCGTAAGGTCCTGAGAGCTCGATGTCTGTCTCTTGACCCAGAGGACCTGATGTGTGAGATGAGTGCTCCCGAAGCGAGGATGCATCCAGCCTTGCTGTTGCAGCTGATCTGCAGAACCGAGGTTTCAGAATGTATAGTCTCAGCAGAGGTGGGGCGGCCGCTCATTTCACCCGACATAAGACAATGAACTATACTCCCCAGCAGGGCAGGTGGAGTGGCACACATATAGCGAGAACGTATATTTCGCAAGCGGTGGCTGATACCGTTGCGTTCACGCTTCTGCCAAGCTCCAAGAGAATACTTTCTAATGCTGCCCTGCGTTGGTGAGAGATTGTGAAGAATTTGTGATATTTAGAGCAGAAGGGTCGGCAAGCCATTACAAAGGGAACGTGGAAGGCTCTGTGGTTAGCCCTGGGGGGGTGTCCCACTTAAGGCAGGGCCCTGGTGTGTGCGGGGTCCCCGCCGTAACGGGTGACCCTCGCGGGTCACCCGTTGCGCTGCGAGCTGCTAGCCTCCCTGGTGCCAGCACGGACGGCGGGTGAGGAGCCCGTCCGTCCGACGCTGGTGCTGGGGGAGGTTAGAGACTCACAGGTCGGGGGCTCTTGCCAGGCCCCCGGGGCCGTCACCATCGAGTGGGCTTGAGCCTCGCACTCCAAACTTGTAGCGGCGCGTCGCGAAAAAGAGGCCCCCAAAAACATGGCCATTCCCCCTCCGTCTCATGCTCCTCATTATGCTCTTCTTTAATGTATACCCTGCTCACGGCCCCCCCCTGAGACAGCATATGTTATTTTCGTCATGGACAACCTGGCACTTGGAAGGGAACTCCTGACATTCCGAAGGTAGCTCCTCGTTGCTGACGCGGCGAGCCAGAAATCGGAAGGGAGCTCCTGAGCGCGTGAAGCGAGATGCCGACGGACCGACCTTCGACAGATCGACGCGCTAGTCTCGATCGATCTCTTGCTAGTGCCGCAGCCCTGAAGGTAAAGGTGAAGCGCACCAGAAGGTTTGGGGAGAAGGCTGAGTATAATCAGGAGGAGGAGGCGGATGCGGAGGAGGAGGAGGAGGAGGAGGGGGAGGAGGAGGAGTAAGACGAGGACAATGACGAGGTGGAGGAGGGGGAGAAGGAGGATGAGGAGGGGGGGCGGGAGGAGAGCATGGATGAGGGGAGGGCGAGGCGGAGGAGCAGGCAGAAGGAGGACTGTCTTTCTCCTCCTTGGCTCCTCCTCTCTCCATGTCTTGTGCTCCTCCTCCTCCTCCTCGTCCTCCTTGCTCTCTCCATTCCAGCTTCTGCTCCACCTCATCCTCTTCGTCCTCCCCCCCCCTCCACCTCGTCCCTCTTCCATCCTCGTCCATCTCGTCCTCCCCCTCCCCCTCCTCTTCCTTCTCCTCCTCCTGCTCCTCTACCTTCTCCTCCTCCTCCATCCCACTTCCTTATAACTAACTCCCACCTGCCTCACCACCAGGCATGTCCTTAGGCCGAGCCAGGCTTTTCGCTGAAGGCTTATTTGCAACTTACAGCTGGCATACGGATGTAGGGCTAGTGGTTTCCAAAATGTTGCTCTCGCCTCAGCGTCTCGCACATTCGTCTTAACCGCTTCCAGCGGCTACACGGATGGAGGGCCGGTGGTTTTCAACATGTGGCTCTCGCCGTTTTCGCGCCGTGCAGTTTCGTGCTACTAAAAGCTTCCGACATGTACACGGACGGAGGGACAGTTCCTTTTCAAATCGTGGTTCTCGTCTCAGCACTGCACACATTCGTCTTACAATACCCCAGAAGTTATATACGGATGGAGGCCGGCATGTTAGGACAGAGGTTTGGGGTTGATACTTCCTGCACGGAGGCCGCAACTGGTGTACCCATTTGCGACAGTTGCACGGAGGGAGGGCGGTTTCGCCTCAATGTTCCGTAGACGCGCTAGCGAGGTGTTAGCTAACGGCGAGGTAGGACATCCAATTGCAGGAGGGCGTGGTGCGTGGCTAAAAGAATTATTGGCACGCGTGGTTCGTGTTTTCCTGCAACTCGCTGTGTCGGTA